ACCCTGTGTTAAATTATGTCATGTCATTGTTAGACTCATGCAGATTTAACAGATTTTAAAAAGTTAAAGACAGAAAAGGATTTTGGAATCATAAAATATCAATATCTACATCTACATCTACATCTACATCTACATCTATATCTAAGCCTAAGCGACCGCTACAACCAAAACAACTGGATGACCAGGCCAGCAGAAGGGTTAGTGAGGGCTGACCAAACGACTGAGCAGCAGGCTACATGGGGCCACCAGGCCTGCAGGGGGTGGGGAGAGTGGCAATTAGAGGTGACCAGGCCAGCAGGTTGGGGAGGCAGTGAGGAGCAACCAGGCCAGCAGAGGGGAGCAGTGAGGGGCGATCAGGCTGGCAGTGGAGGGAGGGGAGGTGCTGTGAGGGGCAACCAGGCTAGTGGTGGTGGTGGGGGGAGTTGGGGAAGACCAGGTCAGCAGTGGGGGCAATTGGGGGTGACCAGGACATCAGGGGGTGCAATTAGGGGTGATCAGGCAGATGAGCAGTTAGGAGCCAATGGTCCTAGATTGTGAGAGGGATGTCCGACTGGTGGTTTAGGCCCAATCCCATAGGTAGGAAGCATAGATGTTTCTTAGGCACCACTAGGTGTGGATCAGTGGAACCCTAGGTGGTACTGTGAAATAGCACTGCAGCTTAGAAGAGTGCTAGCCAAATAGTCTCTTATGGGATATAAATTATGTAATTGAAAAATTATGTGCTGGTGCTTGTTGATTTCTCCATCACAAGTAGATAAGTGTATTGTAAAAGACCTCCTTAGAGCCTAGAACATACTTTTTAAATTTAGGCATGAACATGAGTGCTGGAAATAAAATACTAATACTTAAGCTTCAAAAATAAATAAATAAAATAAATAATATAGTACTCTCCCCCCACCTCCTCAGTTTCAATTACCTTCATAATTCTTGGTCCAGAAATATGAAATGGAAAATTCTAGAAATAAGCCATTTGTTTTAAATTAGGTGCTGATTAGTGTAATGAAGCCTCTCGCTATTCTGCTTCATCTTGCCCAAGACAATGAATTATCCCTTTGTCCAGCATATCCCCATTAGCTTATTATTAACTTATAGCCAGCTATGTTAGCAGATCAACTGTCCTGGTATCACACTGCTTATGTTCAAGTACCCTTATTTTACTCAATAATACCATAATCACATAATGTTTACTACAGCCTATTATTATCATTTTTCTACTTTATTAGTAATTACTGCTGTTAAATCTCTTACTGTGCTAACTTATAAGTTAGACTCTATTATAGATATGCATAGGAGAAAACATACAGTATATACAGGACTTGACACTATCCACAATTTTAGGCAGTCACTGGGAATCTCAATGTATCACTCACAGATAAGAAGAGACTACTATAGTACTCTATAATTGTTAAATTTCCTAATGTTGGTATCTGTACTGTTACTATTTAAGAAAATGTCTTTGTTTTCTTAGGAAATACACAATGAGGTTTATAATGGTTAAAAAAAAAAAAAAAAAAAAAAAAATCCCGTATCTCCAACCTGGTCTTAAAGGGCTCAAAAGCAAACCACAATGTGCACACACAGCTCAAACAAGTAGGGCAAAATATAAACAGTTGGCAAATCTCAGGAAAAGGTACACAAGAGCTCCTTTTACTCTTCCTGCAAGTTTTAAGTTGAAATTATATAAAAATAAAAAGTTAAATAATCAATCAGAAATGAAGAATGCCATAACTGAAATATAGAATACACAAGAAAGAATTGCTAGTCAACTGGATAATCTAACCTTACACCTAAAAGAAGTGGAATCAGAACAGGCCAAGGTAAAATGAAGGAAATAATAAAAATTAGAGAAAAACTAAAAACAAACGAACAAAAAAATACAAAAGGTCAATGAAACCAAAAGTTGGTTCTTTTTTGAAAGGAAAAACATGACTGATGAACCTTTAACTAGACACATCAAGAAAGAACAGACCCAAATAAATGTAATCAGAAATGAAAGAAGAATGATAACAACAGACATCACAGAAATACCAATGATTGTAAGAAAATATTAGAAACCACTATATGCCAACAAAGTAGACAACCTGGGCAAAATGGAAAAATTCCTAGAAAAGACAATCTTCCAAAATGGAATCAGGAAGAAGCAGGATACCTGAATAGATCAATAACAACTAATGACATTGAAGAAGTAATAAAAAATACTTCCAGCAAACAAAAGTCCTGGACCAAATAGCTTCATAGGCAAATTTTACCAAACATTCAAAGAACTAATTAACACCCATCCTCATCAAAATATAAATTCAATAGAATGCAAGACTTCCAAGCTCTTAGTATGAGCCCAACATTATCCTAATATTAACAAAATCAGATAAAGACACAAGAAGGAAAAAATTAAGGCCAATATCACTAATGAACCTGGATGCTAAAATTCTCAACAGAATATTAGCATATTGGATCAAGCAATAAATTTTTAGAAATCATACACTATGATCAAATGGGATTTATTCCAGGGATGCAAGAATGTAAATAATCAGTCAGAAATGAATTCACAAATCAAAAAAAGTGCCATATCACATAAATAAAATGAAAGATAAAAATCACACGATCATATCAATTGATGCAGAAAAAGCATTCGATAAAATCCAGCACCCATACATGATAAAGAACTCTCAACAAAGTGGGAATAGAGGGATCATACCTCAACATAACAAAGGCCATATGTGAAAAACCTACAGCCAACATCATACACAATGGGCAAATACTAAAAGTGTTTTCCTTAAGATCAGGAACAAGACAGGGACGTCTGCTTTCACCATTCTTATTCCACATAGTACTGGATGTTGTAGTCATAGCAATCAGACAAGAAGAAATAAAAAGCATCTAATTGGGAAGGAGGAAGTATAACTGTCATTTTTTGCAGACGATGTCATACTGTATACAGAAAACCCTGAAGACCACCGAAAAGACTAGTTGCAGAATATAAAATTAGGATCCAGAAATTGATGGCATTTTTACAAACCAATAATGAACTATCAGAAACAGAAACTAAGGAAACAATCCCACTTACTATTGCAACAACAAATAAGGTACCTAGGAACAAATTTAACAAAGGATATAAAACCTGTAACTCGGAGAACTATATGACATTAAACAAAGAAATTCAAGAAGATACAAATAAATGGAAACATATACCATTCGTTGTTCATGGATTGAAAGAATTAACATCACTAAAATATCCATACTACCTAAAGCAATCTGTAGATTCAAAGCAATTCCTATTAAAACACCAATGGGATATTTCACAGAACTAGAAAAAATATTCCAAAAATTTACATGGGACCAAAAATTGGCCCCGAATAGCTTTAGCAATCTTGAAGAAAGAAAAACAAGTTGAAGGTATCAATACAGGATATCAAACTATACTACAAATCCATTTTAAAATAGTCTGCTACTAGCTTAAGAACATATAGACAAATGGAACACAACAGAGATCCCAGAAATTAATCCACATCTCTATGGTCAAATTAATATTTGCTAAAGGAGGCAAGAGCATACAATGGAGTAAAGATAGTCTCTTCAATAAATGGTATTGTGAAAATTGGACAGGCACATGCAAAAATAAATGAAACTAGACCACCAACTTACACTATACATAAGATTGAACTAAAAAGGATAAAAGACTTAAATTTAAGTCATGAAACAGAACTTATATAACTGAATACCAGGAAGACAAACAATTCAAATAAAAAATAGGCAAAGGACCTGAATATTAGGTGTACCAGTTAATTAATAATGATTTTTTTTCAATAGATAAGAGTTACACAAATGTTGATATATATGCAATTTGATATGTATGCTACTTTGTTTTATTGACAAGCTTCAAAACTTCCTATGTCAATTTGCTTAAGTTGTTAACATCATAGATAGTTTTACACTTAAAAATGTAGAATTTCGTGCCAAAAAAAAAAAAAAAAAGCATTTGTGGGAAATTATAATTCATTATTTTAAGAAAAGTGCTGCTGAATACTTCAGGAAGCTTATGGAGAACATGCTCCATCTCAAGATACTTGTGAACGCTGGTTTAAAAGTGATGATTTCGATGTAAAAGACAAAGAACATCCAGGTCAACCGAAAAAGTTTGAAGACCAACTATTTACAAGCATTATTGGATGAAGATGTGTGTCAAACTCAAAAACAACTTGCAGAGAGATTAAACATTGCTCAGCAAACAATATCTGATCGTTTATAAGCAATGGGAAATATTTATAGGAAGGAAAATGGGTGCCACATCAACTGAACTAAAGACAAATGGAAAACCGAAAAGTCATCAGTAAAATGTTGCTTCAATGGGCACGAAGTCTTTTTTGCAGCAAATTGTGACTGGTGATGAAAAGTTTTTTTCTTTTTGAGAACCCCAAATGCACAAAATCATGGGTTGATCCAGGTCAATCATCAACATTGACTGCAAGGCCAAATTGCTTTGGAAAGAAGACCATACTCTGCGTTTGGTGGGAACAGGAAGTTGTGGTATATTATGAGCTCCTATAACCAGGTGAAACAATTAATACTGATCACTACCGACAATAAATAATCAATTTGAACCAGGCTTTGATTGTAAAACAATGTTCTAGAAGACATGGTAAAGTAATTTTACTTCATGATGATGGACCATCACATACTTCAAAATCAGTTGAAGACACATTGAAAGATCTTGCCTGGGAAGTATTAACCCACCAGCTGTATTCACAGACGTTGCTCCTTCAGATTACTATTTGTTCTGATTGCTGGCATATACACTTTTTGAGTGCACTTCAAACATACAAAGAAGTGGAAAATTGGGTTTCTGAAAAGTTCTATTGGGATGGTATCCACAAATTACCTGAAAGATGGGGAAATGTGCAGCTAGCAATGGGACATTACTTTGATAAAACACTTTTGATATTTCTCTTGAAATTATCATGTTTTCTTTGATTAAAATCCACATTATTAACCAGTACACCTAGCAGACACTTCTCCAAAGATGATGACATATGGATGGCCAATAGACATCTGAAAAAATGTTCAAGGTCACTAATCATTAGAGATGCAAATAAAAATTATAATGAGGTATCACCTCATACCTGTCAGAATAAATACTAACAATAAAACAACAAACAACAAGTGCTGGGGAGGATGTGGAAAAAAAGAGAACCCTTGTACATTATTGGTGGGAATGCAGACTGATACAGCCATTGTGAAAAATAGTATGGAGTTTCCTCAAAGTATTTAAAATGGAACTGCCTTTAACACAACAATCCCCATTTCTGGGAATATATCCCAAGAATTTCAAAACACCAATCAGAAACAATATATGTAACCCTTTATTCACAGCAGCAATACCTATATATATAAAAGCCTAAACGACCAAACAACTGGCTGACCATCCGGTAGCTATGATGTGCACTGACCACGAGGGGGCAGAGGCTCAACACAGGAGCAGAAACAGACTGATCTCAGAGGGAAGCGGGTAGGGGAAAAGGTGAGAAGAGATTAATCAAAAATCTTATATGCATACTCAAGGTCTAGTGCACAGATTCGTGCTCTGGTGGGGTCCCTCGGGCTGGCCTGTGGGGATCAGGCCTAAACAGGCTCTCTAACATCTCCCGAGAGGTCCTAGACAGTGAGGGGGTGCAGGCCAGGCTGAGGGACATCCACTGGTGCGCAAATCTGTGCACTGGGCCACTAGTTTACAAATATCCAAAATCTGGAAACAGCCCAAGTGCCCATCAGCAGGTAAGTGAATAAGAAAGCTATGGCACATTTTCACAATGGAATATTATGCCACTGTAAAAAAAAAAAGAGGAACTTTTACCCTTTGCAACAATATGAATGGATCTAGAGCACATGTGTCAAACACAAGGCCCGCGGGCCAAATCCGTCCCGCCAGGCCTTGCAATGTGGCCCGCACCGCGCTGTCATCACTGCACTCCGCTTCGTTTCCATCACAATGACAGTTTATGACTGTTCAGTAAACCATTCGGCCCGCGATTTAGGCTGGATTTTAGATTTTGGCCCCTTCTCTGATTGAGTTTGCCACCCCTAATCTAGAGAGTATTATGCTAAGCAAAATAAGACAGAGAAAGACAAAGAGCATATATTCTCATATGTGGAATCTAATAAACAAAAGAAACTGATAAACAAAATGGAACTGGAAGCAATGGATACATGGAACAGACTGGCCAGTACCTGACGAGTGAGAAGTGGGGGTAACAGGATAAAGGTGAAGAGATTAGCTAAAGAACATATATGCATACGTATTCTATGGGCACAAACAATAGTTTGGTGAAGGCCAAGGAAGGGGGAAGCAAGGGTGGATGAAGGTGGACAAAGAATTCCAGGGAAAAAGGGGGACACTTGCAATAATTAAAATAACATTAAAATTTTTAAGTAAAAATAAAGTGTGGAATGAATAAAGAAGAATATGAAAATATTAAAATTAATAGTTATTAAAACAATTAAGCAGACTTATGATAAAAAATAAGAAAATAACCCTGGCTGGTTTTGCTTGGTGGTTAGAGTGTCAGGCTGCAGAACGAAGGGTTGAGGGTTTGATCCCTGGCCCAAGACAGAGTGAGGGAGGCAAACAATCCATGTGCCTCTCTCACATTAATGTTTCTCTCTCTTTTTTTTTTTTTTAATATATTTTATTGATTTTGTACAGAAAGGAAAGGAGAGAGAGAGTTAGAAACATCAATGAGAGAGAGTCATCGATCAGCTGCCTCTTGCACACCCCCTACTGGGGATATGCCCGCAACCAAGGTACATGCCCTTGACTGGAATTGAACCCGGGACCCCTCAGTCCCCAAGCCCATGCTCTATCCATTGAGCCAAACCGGTCCCGGCTAATTTTTCTCTTTTTCTCTCTCCCCCCACTCCACTCCATTCTCTCTCAAAAAATTCAATGGAAAAAATATCCTCAGATGAGGATTAAAAAAGAAAAAGGAAAATAACACCAAAAAAATCAATAATTTAAAATGGAAAGACTTTGTATGCTTATTTTTGTTAATAAGCATTCAATAGTTTCAATAATATAAGCAAATTACAAAAAAAAGTACTGAAGTCTTTTGGCAGTGATAAAATATGTAGTGAGGACTAGTGATAATAGGGTGACTGTGAAAAGATGCCAGAGATATTTAGTTAGTAGAGTGTTGTAAGTTGAGTTTGTGTTATAGATCTAGATGAGCCTTCCCATTTACATGTCTAATCTGAAAAACAATGATAAATTTTAAAATATTGCAGCTTAAACTTAGAAAATAAAATGGAGGCTACCAACTATAGGGAAGCAATTACTATATACAGGTAATCTATCTAGGATAAGGTTACTCAAAGTATCTGTATCTTTAATTTAGTTTAATGAATAGTAGTTGGCTACAGTAAATTAAATATTAAGACTGGACTTACTGGATGAAGAAATTACCAATATGTAGTATAAAAATCTATTGAATACTATCTGAAAACCTTGAATAAAAGTTTATGTACACTCATGACAGATAGAAATAACGGTGCTTAAATAACTACTGTGAAAAACATTTAATAAAAATAAAAATTATTAAATACAACTTTAATAGCATATATATTTTAGGTTTCTAACTAACTTCATACCATCAGATAAATTAGTAACTATTTAAAATAAAACAGACTAAAACTTGCTATTTGAACAGAATTCTACAATTCAAATTTAAGAAACCTTTCTGCAAATCTGTAGGCTGTATACCACAATCCACAAAGAAAGTTGCCCAAAAAGTTAATAAATTTAAAAGACTACAAATTACTACAGTCTATTGTACTGTTAACATGCTTGTGTGAGATAGGTATATCAAATTAATATTGCAAAACTGATAGTTCAGAAGGGAAAAACCAGACAAATGGACGCTTACAATACAGGAAAAAAACCACAAAGTCACTTTATATCTGGGTTTTTATAGAGACTATATTCATGCAGAATTTCCATGCTGAATATGAGATAAAATTACCCAAAGAAGATAAAGCACAAATAAGTGAAATTCAATATAATCAGTAAAAAAATAAAAAATAAAAATAAAAGGACCCTCATAAAATATTCTGAAAATTTTAAACGACATAAGGCAGCTTAAGTTCTCACTGATGTCAAATTCATTAAATTGAAGAAAAAAAGTATATTAAAGGTTAAAAAAAAGAATCTTTATAAACATAGTGGTCATAAATTAAATTTACCTTTTTATCTTCTTTTACTTTGTGGATTTTCTTCTTCATTTTCTTATCATCTAATTCCTGGTCTGAAGTGATTGCAGGATTATCAATACCACCTTTCCAAGTTTCAACAGGAGAAAGAAGTGGATCTTCTTCACTTCCACGATGTCTTCCTTTTCTTTTTGTTTTAGAAGTAGTGAAAGCCTCGTCATCACTTGCATCTGAATGTGTTCGTCGATAGTATGACTTGGCTTTACTAAACAGAGTTTTAGATTTATATTTGTATTTTGAAGGCCTCCGTTCCCCATGACTTTTTGAGGTTCTATCAGAAAATCCATTTTCTTCATCTCCTTGGGTGTTATTTACAAATGAATTTCTAATTTTAATAATGCGATTCTGGCTATCATCTGGGACAACATATATCTCATCAGAACAGCCCTTCTGTTTAAAAATTGTATCAATGGGTTCCGCATAGTTATCTGAAGGATCCATATCTTCAGGATGTGCCAAAGGCACCCGGGAAGTCTGTTTTCTTGGATTTTTGCCAATACCAGCTTCTATTGTTTTTAAGAGGTTTGGGTCAAGTTTCTTCACATTAGTCTTAGGTACAACTGGTTTAGGTTTAATAGGTGGAGGCACTTTATGGTTGCGTTCATGGTCATGACAGTTGGGGGTGCTATGAATAGGATATTCATTTCCTTCCAAATCTAATCTGTATCTGGAACGGTCACTAGGTGTTGGAAGCAACTGTACATCATCCCCAATTGGACTATAAGGAGGCGGTGCTTCTGTATCATCATCTGAATCAGGGTAGTTGTTATAGGGAAAACAATCTCTGGGAGATGGTAGAAAAACATCCTCACTTTGATGGGTTGATTCCCTTGTACTATCAGATAAATAGGAATTTTCTATCATATTTTTTTTCTCTAGGACATCACTGAAAAACAGAGTAAAGACCTCGGTTTGCCGATGATACTGAGATAAAGAATACAATGCTGTAAATTTAGCAGTGATCTCAGTTGCGATGTGTTCTCCTTCAGTCATTAACTCCTTGATGGCCTCATTTTCAAAAAAATCTGCTTGGCTGTCAGTAACTGCCACCAGTTGTACAGGAATGGTGTCCTGAACTTCTGATAGAAATGCTCGGAGCATTCCCATTGATGCTTTCCGTTTGGCAGAATAAACTAATATATATCCATGAACAAGTTCATCTTTCCTTACTCCAATTGAGGAATGATATGATAATATTGTGATCTGTATTCGCCTCCTTTTTTCACCAATGATTTTGTCAAGCATTAGGGAATTATTCTGCCCAGCTTGAGCAGCACTGCAAGAATGAGAATCAAGGAAGGGTGAAAGAATAAGATCCACACTAAATGGATCACCACACATGGCACACATAACAATTCTCAAGTCAGCTTCTGATACATCCTTATTGGTGGGAACTGGGCTCACCACATCTAAATTGTGTTTAACTGATTCTAATACTCCTCTTAGAGCTTGCTTTATTTGTGTTTCATTAAACTTCCGAGGATATGTACCAGTAGGTATATCTACAAAAGGACATTGTAACTTGTTTGCCAACTGTTGCCCTTGATGCCTGAGAATTGGTAGATTCTTACTAATAGAATCTCTCTGATTAGCCAGAATTAACGTAAATGGAAGATTAGCCATATATTTATCTTTTCTGATCTGAGAAGCTTCAGTTCTTATTTTTCCAATAAATTCCCCAATAAAATTCAGTGACTCGATAGAATTAAATACACAGAAGCACCCATGTGGTTTAAAGGCGGCAGTCCATAACTGACTTAAAAAGTAAGGCGAATTGGCATCAACTGGTCGAAGATCAAGTTCATAAATTTTTCCATCTAAGGCATACTCATCATCAGTGGATTGTGTCCTTATCTCATTTGCTAGTTCTTGGGCAAGGCCATCCTTCCCTAAAATAAAAAGGTTAACTTTATCTATAT